TTTCTCAAAAAGGACATTGCCGTTCTCACAAGTTCCGAAGACTGAACCGCGTCCGACAGCAATGTTGTAATGATATCTGGTGGACCAGGAGCGGCTATTATGTTAGGTCACTATCATGAAGCACATTATCAAAGTCTAGATTTCCAACGTGCTGGTAAGTATTCTATATTCAATATTTTCATTCATACGGGTTTCATATATAAGTAACTAAAAGATCAAATATGAAATAAGTACCCACTTTTGCCACACAGTTGCTTTCACCAACAGTTCTTCTATATCAATTCTTCTAATTCAAGAACTTGGGCCATTGGTGGGCATAATAAGTGTTATCATCCGATACATTTTAGTCTCTTAATCTCTGAAGACAAGCGCTGGCGACTTATTCTAATTAAATACAAAGTATAGAATCTAACACAACCGCATACAACGCGAATATTTCCTTTAACTATCACCACTATTGAGCCTTTTACGCCCAGTGGAATCTATTTCGTCAGATTATCGAGACTGGTTAATCTCTGTCGTTGACGTGTTACATTTAAGAATTAACTTCAATATATATCTTTTGCTTTTATGTTGGTATAAAGGTAAAAACCGATTTGCACACTGTGTACATAAGCATAAATAAGTACGTCAACGATAGTAACTTAACAGACTGTTCATTAAACAAACAAATGTAGCCAACATTTCGAGCTAAAACAGCGCACACACTTTATAAGGCAATCATAACACAGTTGTTCGTTAGTGACCCAAATATTTTTCGGTTTTTGTTTCCGCCTAAAATTCCTTGGTTAGTCAAGGAAATGCCATGGAATCACTTGAAATGTATATAAGTACAAGTAATAAAAAAGTAATACATGACGTATATGTCATTTTAGCAAGCTGTTGCCGAAACAATCCGTCATTGTTATTTTAGGACAAGTGGAATGTTCCACCGCTCAAGCAGATTCATCACCATTGCCGGCGGAGGATGTGGTGAGTGTGATGAAACATATTGATATTTTCGTCTTTACAAATATGCTTACGATACAGGACGAACTGCCTTAAAGTAGAGAGTCATGTAATAATGTTTGTTATTACAGGGCGGTTTAACTTTAACTGTTACTTGTAACCTATAACTAAGTACACTTACAATATATAAAAGAAATATAAACTTGGCGGATACAATGATATATTTGATATATAGATATAATTTGTTGTATGTTTTTCAGTTTCAAGATATCTGTAATGATGACAGAAGATTGGACGAAATAGTAGTGACGATAGGTCCCTACCGAATATCAAAATTGGATATTCTGACAATAGCACCAATACTTCCGAAAGAAACAGAAGACCAGCTCAGAGTGAAAATTGACAAAGAGACCAGATGGACTGTGGACTGGCTAAATGATCAGGTATGTGTACACCACTGTATACACATGAAGTACATTTATTAAGCGGTGATAAAGTGGAACAATAACGTTAATAATATTATGTTTCTTTGCAGATAATAAACGTCTTCTTGTATGTGCTGTGTCAAAGGCGGGGGGTAAGTGACAGGATATTCAACATACCGTGATATATACATATGATATGTACAAAATGATATGTAGATATGTTTACAAGATGCCATGTCATTCATTAATAGATTAATCAACTTTGTTACAAATTGTGATAATGTGTGCAAATACCAAAACAATATTCGTCCTTGAATATATCACTTGCTATTTTAGAATATGTTATTTGTTTCGGGGTAAGCAGAGAAACGCAGCTTTATCAAGCAAAGTTATAGAGGGATGGCAACATTTCAAGTCCAAAAGGAGACGCCGGGCGCCACTTGTTCAAAAGGTCAGAATTGCTTTTTAGAAATATCTGCAGTTACAATTTTAAACTGAAGACAAAATATGCCAAGGGAATATCTAGTTTTTTTATTCGCCCGTAAAGAGATCACCCGTTTAATAAACATACAGCTGTATAACACGTTGTATAATACCAAAGCGCGTGCTTATATACTGCGGGAACAATTTCAGTAACAAATATTGAAAACTCCCAACATCCCTTGGCTTATTCAACGACATTGCGTGTAGTGACGATAGATCACTGAGAGGGTATGCACACGCAATTACCCTCTCAACCCTGACGCTATGCTGACGTCACATGACATTGTTTCGTGGTTGGATCTTGTAACAATATTCTACATATTACGTCAGAGGGTATTGTGACGTGTTGTAATCTTTTTGATGCAGGATCCTGTTCCACAAGTCGATAGTAGCGCAACGACAGACGTAAGTTTATGTTACTATAAGGGTAAATCTATTTTTCAGTGCATTATCATTTGCAGAAGCCCGAGGTCTTCTAATAAGACCGAGGGCTTCTGCAAATGATAATGCCCTGAAAAATAGCGTTACCGTTATATTAGCTAAAAAGGATGGAATTTGTTATCAAATAAAAAGAATCAACAATATCGGTTTTGAAACATTTACTGCAATCAAAACGAATGTCACTGACCCGCTTTTACAAATATGGAAACGCCATAGAACAAACCAGATGACGTCACTATTGAACATGACGTCACCTATCCCTATCCTAACAAATAGTCAAAACCCAAGTATGACATCATCTGGTTTGTTCTATGACATTTCCATATTTGTAAAAGTGGGTCAGTAACATATTTTAAAAAGTTATAAACGGCAAGTAATAAATAAATTACTAAGCTCGCTCCTCTTTAATAACATTTTTATGAAACTCGTGAATAGTTTCTTGTATCGGACTCCCTTTCGAGCGTGAGATATCAGAACTATTCACTCGTTTCATACAATTAGTATTACACAGGAGCTCGTTTAGTATTCTCTATTTGTCATATAGTGGGAATGGGTAAAGAGAAGATGACGTTGAGGAGAAGATATCATTCACTGTCGGTTGGTGAATAAGAATCGCCTAGCCTTGCAAGGCTTGTCATTATTGAGAAAAGAAAATTAAATCTTCAAGAAAAAGCGTTTTCTGAAATTGACAGTATCATAAGTGAGATAAGATGCACTGGAAGAGTTTCTGAACCGCCGAAAGACGCCGACATATTCAGGAAATGAATTGAATGAATTGAATAAAGTTGATGAAGACAAACATTCCCTTAATGTAGCAACAGGTAACTGGATACATATCAAGTCTAATCGTTGCACATATATGAAACCTTGAGAAGGGATATTATGTTGTTTTTGTTCCTTTGTTGTGTAATGCAACAATAAACAATAGTCTAGGTATATGGCGACGTTTTAATCATGTAGATGCTACTGTTGGAAATATTTCTAGATTAACAATATAATATGAGCTATGGTATGAAACAAAAAGTATGTTTTCAAGATGGATGCATGTTGTTATACTGTCTTCAGTTGTCAGATATATATGGGCAGTGAATGTCATAAGAAACGTTTTAATAGAAGATAGATGCAGTTCTTTTGATGGTTGATGTTTTAACATAATGACATGGAAACGAACTATGTACATGAGACGAACATAGATATAATTTACCAGTGATATTTTATTCAATTAAATATTTTATGGCTAACCGAAAATTGCCACAACACAACAACATAGGCTACTGTGAAAGACTCGCCATACTAATAAAGAAAACACAATTTAATGTCCTCAATAATATATGTGAACAACCGATTGCCTGTTAATTTATATGATACCAGAGATGTTCAAGGGACGACATGAGATACCGTTTGTAGGCTGAGATAAAGTACACAATGCCGTGAGAAAGCACAACCTTAGTCCTGTACTGTAGATTGTAGGTATTTGAGTATTGTTCCGAATGTAAAGGACCATGTTCGTTGTATTTCAGGAAAAACTCTCGGAAGCAGAGAAAGTGTTTATACCGATTCACAGACATGGAAGCCATTGGACATTGCTGGTAAGTTGTATTTCCTAGGTATTTGAGACAGAAATTGACCACACATGAATGGTGCCGATCGTATGTGTGTAGATGTGTGACTCACGTCGAAGTGTGTGGGCGTGTGATGGATTTCAATCGTGTGACTGAATTTCGGGTCGATCACTTGATCCTCAGATTTGTGTACAGGCCCACGTCGGATGGCAACAAATACATACGTTTTTGTGCAAATTGTACTAATTGCAGGTTCTTCCATTTGGGGAGACATGCTTACCCCTTTCGTAAAAACCTGGCGGCCTTTGATTTTCAGTTTACCTTTATGTGAAGGTCACATATAGACGTACAACAGTTACTGTCACTCCTTATTTCTGACGCAGGTGTTGGATGTACAAGCCAAACGAATGCGCTTCTATGACCCCTTGAACCGGAGAATAGACGAAGAAGTGGTCAACACAACAAGGTAGGGTTGCTGAATAAGTAAATTCCCTATATCGCCACATCTATAATAATAAATTAAGTAGTTTTATAGCCCTACAAGTACATGGCTGCTTACGTTATTACTATGAACTGCTGAGTTGCCTGTCGGTCAAAACTCATTGCATTTGCACTTTTCTTCAAAGGGAGTACATGGAATACAGACTTCAGAATGTACCAGATGATGCAATTGACCTATCAAACTACAACGTAGAGGTCAGTCATGAGTACACCACACAGACGGATGCTACAAGCTGTGGTGTTTGCATATGCATAGTGAGTACAGCAAGGTCTCAAAAAGAGTTGTTCAAAACTGAATAATAACGATTAAATATTTTCTCGCCACTGATTACACTTTGACTTATTCACGGTTACTATGAAAAATGAAAATGAAAAATTACTATGAAAATATTTTTTTAAATTTATGTAAATGAAAGAATACCTGGAATAGTGAGTGATTTAATGGTAACATTGAATATGATTTCGTGTTTCAGTATGCGTGGAACGAATGCAGCAAGGACAAGAAGGTACGACCGTTTTTTGGTGTATTGAAGTTCTAATGTATAGCAGATATATTACAGACGATATGTATCAATTATTATTTTTAAAATAAAAACATGACATATTTTGCAGTGTGACCCGAGCAGATGCCGTTCTTTCATAGCCAAAGAAATTTTGAATGCAGTGAAGGATGTGGAACCAAAGGTACTTTATTTGTGCACTGTGAATAATTGTGACAGTAATGGGCATATACGCTACTGTTTATTGTTCGTAAGCTAACCAAAGGTATGTGTCACATATATATCCCCGTATTTCGAATATTCAATAAGTAATTCACATGAAATTCCATTCTACTTATAAAATGTGTGCTACTTGGAACATCGTTCCATTTCAGAATACAACAAAGGAAATACCAAGCAAATACGGACTGCGGGAGCAAGTTCCAGTGGTAAAACATAATGAGGTTTCACTGATACATCTAGATGGTCGATTCCATTTCATGTAGTACTGAAAATACATTTAGTATACATGCGACCCGTGAAGATCCGGGTAGAATAGGTCTTCAGCAACCCATGCTTGCCGTAAAAGGCGACTATGCTTGTCGTAAAAGGCGACTAACGGGATTGGGGTCAGGCTCCCTGACTTGGTTGATGCATGTCATCTATCCCAATTGCGTGGATCGATGCTCATGATATTAATCACTCGATTGTCTGGTCCAGACTCGATTATTTACAGACAGCCGTCATATAGCTGGAATATTGCTGAGTGCGGCGTTAAACAACAAACCAACCAACCAACTAGTACACATGCATGTGTTATGCACATAATGCATTAAGTACCCATGACAACAAACTGTTATTATTCATACCTAAAATACACCCGTGAAGATCCGGGTTAGAAAAGGGTCTTCAACAACCCATGCTTTTCGTAAAAGGAGTCTGTGCCTGCCGACTTTTATTCAGAGAATTTATCTCCATAAGTTTGCATGGAAGTGATGCGACCCTATATACATGTTGTATTCACGTGCACTTTCTGATTTCATAAGGTAATATAGAATTGACGTAATTTAATTCGTACTATAATTCATTAAACATAATAACTAGTAATAATGGTACACTGTTTCAAAATTTCATATAAAATTTATTCGCTCCTGAAATTCTGTTACTACACTCGGGACACAAATACATTTCTATATGTTTCTGAATCAGAAGAGATTTTCGGATTCGTGGTGTGCTGACCAACCTCTGCCATTGAAACGAATACGAAGACCTGAATATGCGGCATTGAAGATCCAAACACAGGTACAGAAAGTAAAATCTGATTCATGAAATATCTGAATGTTCTGTTCTTGCTCCATCACATGAAGACTTACGAAAGTGTTGTACAGTTCGTATCTTAAGTTGATAAATAGTATACATTTGTTAAAAATTGGTTTGTGAATGACCATAGAATTGTTTGTATTTCATTTAGAAACCGAATCCTGAGGTGCAGCTTAAAAGGTATGATACTTCTGACAATAATATATGAAAACATTTTAATAATCATAATAAATCTTTGCTTGAAACAGGATATGATTAAGACGATATCATAAGTTTGTGAATAATAAATTTCTATACTTGTGTCGCTTGATACACATCGACTAGTCACAGAGATTTGCAGGCAGTTATCATACAGCAATTAAAATATATTGGAGAAAGAATAATTACTAATTGCATTTACTGTGAAAGAGGGAATACTAGAGATAATTATTAATTTACTACATATTATTGCAGCACAAAATGTGTCGAAAAGACGACAGTGACAAGAAAAGCCATGCGTGAGTATTTGTTTAGAAACCAACCTCATATAAGAATTAAGACACACACGCACGCACGCACACGCACACACATGCACACACAGACAAACACAGAGAGAGAAAAAGATGCCCATGCTATAAACTCAAAGTATCAATATGTTTGTTTAATACAAATAGCAGTTCCTGCAGTAGACATGAAGGAATATGGTGACCAACAAGTGAACATACTTGCTGATGATCTCGAGGAGCTGAGGACTGTGGAACGATCAGAATTTCGAAATGTGGTATGAACATTCATATATATTGACCTACAGTTTCAGTTGTAAATATTATATTGGTATAACAACTTGTGAGTTTCAATATAGATAGATACATAGATAGATAGATAGATAGATAGATAGATAGATAGATAGATAGATAGTGTTAATTTCCAATCTCTAGACTGTAGTAAATGTGTCACGAATAACAATATGAAAACGTATTTTTGATGACGTTTTTATTCCATTGGATTTGTAACTATATAAATATGTTTCTGTGTACACTTGATAAACGGTATAACTAGGAATGTTTTGTTCCTTTAGTTGGAAAAGATAGTTGATGAAGATGTACCCAGGCTGTACCGGTACCCAACAAATGATACAGAAGAAGTACCTGAAGAGTTCAGGAGACATGTGCTTTATTTTCAACGAAAGAAGCTGGAGAGGAGCAGAGCCATGTCCCACCTCAATGCTGTTGTAAATATTACTCTAATGTGACTTCACGAATGTTGATAACGCTTAATAATTTGCCAGTGTTTGGAAATACTGATAACCATCTCAACACAGAAATACTGAGTTACATATTAAATTTGCTTACAGATAAACGGTATGTTCATACTACAGTGACATTTGTCTAACCGGCCTCTGTCTAAAGCGGATATGCCCATATAATGAAGATATTTTCGATCCAAACTTTTACACGTAAATTTATACTGAGAGTACATGACATGACCTAATGATAGAATGACTGCTTTCAGGGATATGCCATACTGATGCAGTCCATGGAGACACATTTGGTGACGAGGACAAGAGGTCCAAGGTAAGAATAGGATAAAATAAACTTTAGGAACATATTTATTTTTCCATCAAGAAGCTTCTGCTTGTTTGTCATCACTATATAAGAATCAAGCGGGTATTAAGAACGAATGAGCTTTGTTTCCACAACTGACCGATAGTTTTACGGCATACACTACCAACAAATATAATGAAATGATGTAGTGATTTATTTAATTTGCATTTTCAGACTTTATGACATCACAAAAAGAAATCTGATACTACCCGATGCTGCACTACAATTTGGACGTCCAGGGTATGTGACTGATGATTGTAAGTTGTAATACATAGTTCTGTCCTAATGGTTGTACGGGTGACAGAAACATGAGGCTTCAGCCATCACAAAAATTGCTGTCACTCGATTCATATATTTTTCAGGAACGACTATTTCCTCAAAGTGGTGGAAGATTTCATTTTCTACCATGCCAGAAAGCATTTCGAAACAAGGCACACAGGTATGTAATTCTTGAGTGGGTGAGTGAGTGAGTGAGTGAGTGTGATGTTCGTGGATATCAGTATACCAATAATAAATGAAAGGATTTGTCAGCACATTAAAGAAGAGAGAAAATGCCGAGGTCATGCAGGTCGAAGTCATGTAATCCTTAAATAACTGTCACTTCGTTGAAATCATTTTGTGTAAATATACTACTTTTGCATTTTCAACATGTATACTCGAACCCTGTTTTGTCGAATGTACCGATATGTCGAACCTTGTCTGTGGTCGCGACCGCCTATACAAATACATATAAATTTACCCGCATATGTCTAATTAGACATGATATAACATATCGCTATCTCGAAATTTGACTTAAATATTTAATGCTTGCCACGTTAACAGTTTTGAGAAGCGGAAATAAACATATCGCATAGTTGTGAGCAATTCTTCTACATACATGCATGTATAGGCCTATTCGTAGTATATTTCTTTTCACATCTAACAATGCTGTAAATAGATTTTGAACCAATTGTTCATACACGTATGTACATGTAGTTACAATTTTGTCCAATTGTCATGTATGTAACTTTTAGTACGATATTTTGTTTCAGATTCATGACAGATTGGATATGCGCTTATTTAAGAGAAAGCGTTATGAGTATATAAGAGTATATCTATTACAAAAAATGAGGACCGGGTTGATATAAGAGTGAGTGAAAGGTTGATATTGGAGTGAATGAGTGAGTGACATTAAGAAGATATGTTGTTTGAATATTAAATATTTGATGTTTGTGCTTAGTGGAAGGCCATAGAAAACTTGTTTAATAGAAATTAGCGTAAAACAGTTGACAGATTATCCACTTATTACAAGGCTGGATAAGTGAAAGAGAGCTAAATATTCCAATGAACAAATACTTGTAACTTGTCAATATTAGACGTCCTTTAAGGCATATGATATACAACGGAAAGAAGAGAACTTCATTTGATATGCTTTCAAGAAGAGTCTCTATTAATTATGCCAGAATATTTCCGTTTTAATCAGCTGACACATACCTGTACGAAAACCTGTCAAAACGCGAAATTGCAGCAAATTCAGAACATGTAGTGTGCAATTCATGGTACTAAATTAAATATAAAAGTCGTGTATGAACCCTATTTACTACTAGATTGAAATCAACACATTATACATATGGGAACACTGCCCACTTCCTGGAATGTACAAGCAAAACAACCGAAACTAAACAACACATTTAAACACAAATGTTATTTCAGAAAGTGGTCATATGTAACAAGTGTCATATTTGGGACGACACATTCTTAGTAAAGTACAAATTCTCGCACTTTGTATGGTTGATTCCCTATCTAATTACCCACTCAGCCACCGAGGCTTCCGCAAAAATGGTAGTACGACAACTGGTAGTCTAGATCACGTACTTTGTGTACCGTTCTGACAAGTGTAAATTGGCACAGCTCCCATGGCCGAAAGCTATGAACTTTACTAAGAAAGTGTCATCAAAAATATAACATTTGTGACATAGGACCACTTTCTAAAATGACATTTGTGAGTTCATAAACTTAGCACTTTTGTCTCCAAAATTACTATCAAGAATAAGAAGGCCTCACTGCACACTTTGGATAGCAGAAATACCAACCTGAATATAAATACAATACAAAGAACTATATATTGCACCTTACGGTTTATTAAGCAGCAGCTGTAACAAGTTTATAACAATGTCATTGAAAGAATAGAACTTACACAATAGGCATCCGGTGAGTTATCACTGCTGGGGTCAAGAGATCTACTCACTCACCGAGTGGCAAACTGGGCATCATTGAGCTGAGTACTCAAGCAGTCCAGACAGACGCAACCCATGCACTGTGTCAAAGGCCGAAAAACTTATTCTCAGATCTGACGTTTACAGAACACCCCTAACACACTTCACTTAAAGTCAAAGGCTCTTCACTTAGTTTACTCTTTTCCATATTTTCAATTTTGTAGATATATGTTTGTACATAAAGTCTAATACCACCATTAGCCATCAAATGTATATAAAGTTCAGTTCAGTGTCGTCTGCAGGAACTTCCATACGTATGTGTAATGGACGGAAGTGACAGTCGCTAGGGCAACGTGAATGAGTGAACTGTTCATTTGAATAATTGTGTCATTTGTGCTACTTGCTCTGTGTTTATATCTAATACTTTCTTAATTATGTAATCACGACCCAAAGAACGCGAGGGTTAGTACTGGTCTTCAGCAACCCATGCTTGTAGTAAAAGACGACTAACGGGATGCATATCATCGTATCCCATTTGCGTGATCGATGCTCACGATGTCAATCACTGGATTGTCTGGTGTAGACTCGATTATTTACAGACCCGTGGTCATTAGCTGGAATATTGCTGAGTGCGGCGTTGAATAACAAATATAAATGTATTAATGGCCTTAAATGTTGATGTGACCCTATGGGGAGTCCTAAAGAAGTAGGCGTTGCCTCAAGTAACCTGTGCTTGTCGTAAGAGGCGACTTACGTGGACTGGGTGGTCGGACTCGGTGACTCGGTTGATTGAGTGTCACAGTATCCCGAGTGTGTTAATATTTGCTGGTGAAGCTATTTGAAGCAAGTATACCTAACACACCTTTTTGATTTCAATGGATATATTATATGTGTTTATTATTCTGTTATGAATAAATGTCTTTGTTATCATGTACCCCAAAGTTTGAGTTCTTTGTGTGCACTTAATGCATGTGTATGGTTTTATACGCTTCAACGGCTACATCACGGCGTCGGGTGGCTGCAGGAATGGGCTTCAAACGAAACATTACCCCGATGTAAGGAATCGAACTCGACAGTTTCGGCGTTCATTGAGACACTGATCTACCCTATCGCTTATATGGACATATTTTCTTCACACCTATTACATTTACAAATATTACCGTGCACAGTGGAATCTGTCGAGACAGGACTTTAACTAATCAGCATTTGTCATACAAGGCGATATCAATGGTGCCGAATATACTATGATTCATAATAATGCTTCTTTGAATCTTGTTTCTATTTACATTTGTTACCCTCTCTTATAATATTCCTAACACAGGCCTCTGTAAAAATCAGACTCACTTTCGGCCCCACAATAAGTAAAACGTTCATTTCACCTGGATGTCAAAACAATGACGCAATGAAGTCCGAAGCAGATATTCCACTGTACTACACAATAAAAATTGAACGTCAAAAGCCCATTGGATGAATGCGCAATTGCAATGCTGATGCGATAGGGTAATTCTCTCAAATGTTGGAGGCAAAGGGAATTCCAAAGCTTTGTACACATAGATTGCGGTGTTCTCAGCATTCCAGAGAATCCTGCGGTCGTCCTTACGGAAGACTTCACCAAATGCATGGTGATAAATGATGATTTGTTTGTTGTTTAACGCCGCACTCAGCAGTATTCTAGCTATATGACGGCGTCTGTAAATAATCGAACCTGCGCCAGACAATCCAGTGATTAACATCATGAGCATCTATCTACGCAATTGGGATAAGATGACATACATCAATTAAGTCAGCGAGCCTGACCACCCGATCCTGTTAATCGCCTTTTACCACATGCATTGGTTGCTGACGACCGATTCTAATCAGGAGCATAAACGGCGTCTCACCTACCATGGGAGGTATTTACAGGTTGTTACAATCAGCAATCCCCGTTATTTGAATCGGCCAGATGTTGTATTTTTAGTAATGTATTGTGTATTGTTCGTCATACATAATGCGACACACTATATCTAATGCAATATTTCGCCTTTGTTAACGGTACCAAAACACTACAGAGATGTAATGATGATTTCCCCCGACATTGTGCAGTCTGGATCAATTAGAATTGACTGAAGGGTTTGGCAATGACACTATGGTCATATAAATTCGTCTACCGTAAACAAACCAGAATTGATTAAGTAAACTATGTAACTAACTTTTCTGACAAACACTAAATGCATTTTTATATTAAAAAGTGCAGAACATTGAACAAATATTTTAATTATCTCAAGAAGTCGGCGTGAGAGTTCTGGAGACAGATGTGAGTTAGGGGCGTCCCGTATTTCTACAGCCTCGTAATAAGGGATCTGGCGAGGGAGACTTGCCGCCAGTCCCCTATGTAACTTAACTCCCCCCTGGGTTCACGCTTACTGGCACTTCCTTGTGGCTCCCGGCACACGGCACATAGGAGCCCTCCCCCACTCACGAGATGTACCGCTGCGTCGTTACACCGGTAAGGCTTGTAGATTGACCTACATATGACAGCCGCCCTGCACTCGAGAGGTTTGACTTCATTACGGATACAATAAGGTGATTATGTACGTACTATTATTTTATGGGAAGCACCTTACACATTGTTATTACATTAATGTATAGATCCTCTTCTGGGAAGTAAACTTTAAGTTCAGATTTCGCCTCATAGTTAAGATTGTGATGTCGTGTTCGTAGTCCCACCCAGTAGTGTCAATTTGTGATTCTTAATACACGTTCAGTTGACCTGAAAGGTTATCCTGCCTCGGAGAGAGTTCAACCATAGACATCCATATGACGGGTGATGGTAAATTTACTTTAATCCACACAGCATAGCATTACACAGCTATTTCTGTCCCGTCTATGAAAATTAAAACGAAACAAGGAAGTATTTACAAGAGAGCCGGCAATAGCGCGTTTGCTGCCATGTCAACACAGGGTAGTACTAAACTTGATAGTTAATAGAATAACAGAGTTTAATACATATGTATAGTGTACGGACATGTATAGAACCAGTGT